GCAGCAACAACAACAACAACATCATCATCATGGTCATCATCAGCAGCATCATCAGCATCATCATCATTATCATCATTGCAATCGTCGTCGTCGACGTCGTCGTCAGCATCAAAATCATCATCATCAGCAGCAGCAGAATCATGAGCATCAGCAGAATGATCATCACAATCAGCATTTTCAGCATCATCAACATCAGCAACATCATCATCATCATCAGCAGCAGCAGCATCATGATCATCATCATCGACAGTGTCAGTATCATCAGCAACATCATCATCATCATCATCATCATCATCATCATCATCATCATCATGATCAGCATCATCATCGTCATCAGCAGCATCAGCATCATCATCGTCATCAGCAACAGGATCATCGTCGCCATTATTATCACCACCACCATCATCAGCAGCAGCAACAGCATCAGTATCCCCATCGCCATCGCCATCGCCGTCGTCGTCATCATAATCATCACCAACATCATCATAATCAGCATCACCATCATCATCACCTCCTCTTCATCAGCAACATCATCGTCTGCATCATAATCATGCTCATCATCATCATCATCATCATCAGACTCGGCATCATCATCATCATCATCATCATCATCATCATCATCATCCTCATCATCATCATCGTCATCGGCATCCGCATCGGCATTACCCTCACGATCGTCAGCATCATCATCGTCAGCATCATCATATGCAGCAGCATCATCGTCATCATCATCACAACGCCCATCATCATCATCATCAGCATCATCATCATCAGCAGCAGCAGCAACAGCAGCAGCATCGTCAGCGTGGACGTCACAATCCTACTAACATCATTGTCAGCAACATCATCAGCAGCATCAGAATCGTTATCCTCATCATCATCATCATCATCATCCTCCTCCTCATCATCATCAGAATCATCACCATGATCATCAGTCGTCGTCCTCGGCATTTTTCTGGTCGTCATAGTCATAATTTCCTACGATAGCACGGCGCGGAAGAGAGTGCCACATGTTGCGGCTCCCCCTGGCATCGGAGAACGAGGAGTCACACGTTACGGTTTCCAATGCGCCCCTCAAGCAGTCGCCATCCAAACTGCTGGGCGGTCACGGTGGAACTTGCCGCTGGCAGATGGATACCAAAAACGCATGAAGAGGTCCTGTCGGAATCCGAGTCACCAGCAAGAACCCCCGTGAGCATCTGTCTTCCGGGGGTCGGCGGGATAGCGCAAGCCACTTGAAGAGAGGAGGTGGGAAGGAGGAGAAACTGGTGGAGGAGGAGGAGGAAGAGGGGGAAGATCGACTCCGATGCGTGGGGGAGGATCTCGGAATCACGGAGCGCACCGCAGGAGAGCTCCCACTGCCACGAACACCTGCTTGTCCCTGCGAGAGGGAGGAGGGGGGAAAGAGAAGAAGCACCCGCCCCCGCAGGCCTGCCCCGCCTGCGGATGAGCTGGAGTCTTGCGGGGGCGGCAACCACCAGCGCGCCCTGGCTTGGGGCGGCCCCCGGCCTCTCCCGCCCTCCCCCCGCCGCCCCCCTCCATGCCTGCCCGGGTGCACCCGATGGGCCCTGCCCGCCGTCGAGCCTGGTGGCTCTGGCCACGACTCCTTCTTCCCCTCCCGCGGGGGGGAGAACGCAAAAAAAGAGTCTCACCGCAGCCACCGTCACCTCGCGGCGTCACGCCCCAGTCGAACACCTTGCTCCTACCCCCCCCCGTGGAAGCTCCTCAACGGCAGCACAGCCCCCCGCGGACGCCCCCCATCTCCCTCGTCCCTTCCCCCCAGACGCCCATGGAGGCCAACGCGCCATGCCCCGCGAAACCCATGAATTCGTTGGAACCTACGCTTTCGCGTGGCGCCGGAGTCTGGAAGGTTGGGGTGCCCATGGTGCCCCTCCGCGCCCACCCCGTCCCGCACACAAGGACGTCGCGCCTTCCCCTGGTCACTGTGGGGAGAGGGGCGTGCGGGCCAGCCCCCCCTTCGCCGAACGCAAAAACGCCAGGGGGTGCGCGAACTTCCCCCGAGGCCATGGAACTCCGTGGGGCCCCTCCCGCCCTCCCCCTCCACAGTCGCAGAGGGAAGCCCCGCGGTGGCCTCCGATGCGGTCGCGGGGCGCATCGCTTTCTGGTGGCCCGCCCACCGCAGGGCCATGACGGCGGCTCCGGCCCCGACCCATCCCGAGCTGCCCTCGAAGAGGGTGGGCGGGCTCCAGGAGCGCGGGGGTCCGCGGGCGGGGACGCGGCGGGGGGGGAGGAGGGGAAGGGTCTGGGTGCTGTGGGCCGAAGGCTGGCTGTCGACGCAGGGGAGGAGGGGGGGCACTCTGGGCCGGGGGGGGGTCCAACACCTGGCCGGCCCCCGGGCGCGGACGTACCGCGCCCACCGCGCACCGTCCCCCCGTCGCACCCTCGTCCCCCTTCGCACCCCGCGTCCTCGAGCCCTCCCAATTACAGGTACAGGCCTCAGAAGAGATGGGCGAATACTCATGCCGCATTCGTCTGTCGATGCCCCCCCCCCAAAGATCAATCTTGGCGGTGGGTTGAATGAGCTGCACTTCGACCGCGGTCTTCCCCGCGCACGCCGACTTCCAGTTTGGGGGAGCGGGGGAGTGTCCACGAATTGTTTCCCTCTACTGTAGCTCCTCCCTGTCGCACCCCCAGACGTGTCGGTAGGACGAGCCTGGCGTTTCGCCTTGATCCGCAACTGCTCGGCAACTTGAAATTTAACACCAACTGCTCGGATGGAGAGGGGGAGCGTTTTCAACGTGGGCTCTCGCCTTAGCGCCGCGCGCACTCGTCATCCAAATGGACAACAGGTAGGATGATGAATGGGGCATTTTTTCAAAAGTGCGTTCTCCCCTGAGCGCCGCGCACACTCGCACCAAAAGGTTGCACGAGTTGCACGGGTGCGGGGCACCTCCTTCCTCTTCAGAACGAAGCCATCGCCTTTTTAACGCGGCGCGCACTCGTCGAAAGAGCTAGAGAAGCAACGAGGGAGATGGAGAGGTGGATTCTCGTCGACCTGGGGCCCTCGCCCCAGCGCCACGCACCCTTTGCATTGCCTGCTCGCGAGAAAGCTGCAGAGGCGGAGGGCGGCGCCCCGTCGAGGCCCTCCGCTTGAGGCTGCCCCGCATCGTGACGCTCACACGAGGCTGGAACTGAGGTTCCAGCTGCACGGGCGGAGGGGCGCCTCCTCTTCAAACGGTTAGTACAGGGCAGGTTTTTTTAGACATCGGATGTTTAAACATATAGGATTTGTAACACATATATATAGGATTAAAAATTGGATTTTGAAAAAAATGGTTTTCTGATACATGACCAGTTTATGACTAAGTTTATGCATGAACGCATCGCTGTGTTTCATACTAAACCCCTGCACTTTTAACACACGATCCGCACGCGGAGCATGTATGAGAAACGGCCCTGTACTCGGAACCGTACACGTGTGTTCTCGTTGCACGGCCAGGGGGGTCCTGTTCGGACCAGGGCTCCCGCTGCACACGTCGCCGAGCGTTTGGACCCTGGCCCTTCGAGTCTCTCATATAGTGCAAACCACTGGGGAGGTGCAGGGCAAGTCCTCTGCCACGGGAGGGCTCTCGCCGGAACGGCAGGCCCGTAGGGTCCCCATCGTTCGAGGGAGGCTTTTGTTGTGACGAGGAAGGCCTGCAGAGACTAATGGGGGGGCTGCACCAGTCACACCATCTGCACGGATGGGGGCGGCGGTTTTCGAAGCGGGGCTCTCGCTTTGGCGCCGCACGGTACTCTTCAAAATGGGGCTCTCGCGCTGGCAGCGCGCACTTTCGGTTCAAGAACGGGCAGCAATTACACGAATAGAGTGCGGTCCTGCTTCAAAATGGGGCTCTCGCCTGCGCTTCCCACACATTCGTCTCAAAAGCGTGCAGCAGCTGCAGACGTGGAAGCGGTGCCTGAAACCTGGGGCCCTCGCCTTTGCGCCACGCACGCATACCTTGGTTGTCTGTAAGATGCTACAAGACTAAAGGGCGGCTCATTGACAAAATGTGATTCCCGCTTGGGGCTACCGTACATGTTAACGGTGAGACGGGTGAAAGTATGCAGCAGCTGCACGGATGGAGAGCGGTTCCTTCTCAGCTCGGGACGTCTTGGGGGCCCCCCGGGAAGCCGGGAGGCGCGGTACCGGCCAGATGTCAGGGGATGTGCGCGATCTCCGAGTCGGAGTCCCACTTTAAAAAAAACGGGGATTCTGGATATTCCCTTTTTTCTGTCAAAAATCATCGATCTTCGAGGGTTGGAAGCGGGAAAACGTCAAAGGCGAAAAAGATTAGAAAAAACGATGGGAAATCAACGATTTACCCTGTTTGGGCTCTCTCAGGACGGCTCTAGCAGCTCTCTTGGGCTGTTCTTGGATCCTCGTCGGGGTCTCTTTGGGGCCTCTCAGGGATCGGGGGTGTGTTGGGGGGTCCCGCCTCTCGGAGGCCGCTGGAAGCCTCCTGCTCCCGCTCTTGGGCCCATTTGGGGCCTGTTCTGGGGTAGTCTGGGGCTGTCCTGGGCGCCTCTTCGGCAGTCTTGGAGCCTTCTTGGCTCGTCTTGGGGCCGTCCTGAGGGTCTCTTGGGTGGTCTTGGGGCGGTCTTGGGAGCCTCTTCGGCGCTCTTGGACCATTGGAAGCTCGAAAACGCGAGAAGCCAAAAACATTAAAACAATAATTGGAAATCAACGATTTAGGCCTCTTCGGGCCGTTCCAGGACGCCTCTCGGACCTCTCTTGGGGTCTCTTGGAGGCCACCTGGGAGCCTCGAGAGCCGTCCGAAGGCTGACTTGGGCTGCTTGGGAACGTCTTGGACGATCCTTTCGCATTCTGGGTGCTCCTGGGAGGCGCGCTGTGGAAGCTCCCCCGAAAGACCTCTTGGGCTCCTGGGGGGCTTTCTTCGGCGGTTTGGGCGCCTCGTGGGCCGTCTTAGCCCCCTTGTGGGCCGTCTTGGGGCCCTCTTGGGGGCATCATCGACCGGCTTGGGTGCCTCTTGGGCCGCCTTGGATGCAGTGGACGCCGAAAAGGCAAACACGCGAAAAATAACAGTTTTCCCATAGGATATCGACGATGTTTGCTTAATGGGCCATTCTCGGGGTGCCTCTTGGGGCGTCTTCGGAGCCTCTCTTGGTGTTTCCTCGGGTCTCATGGGGGCCTCTTGGGGCTTCTGGGCCCCTTCTTGGAGCCTCTTGGGGGGTCTCTTGGGCCAAAAGGCCCGAATTTCCGGTTCCTCGTCCCCGTCTTGGGCGCCGCCTTGGGGCGTTCTTGGGCGGTTTGGGCGCCTCGTGGGCCGTCTTGGCCCCCTCGTGGGCCGCCTTGGGGCCCTCTTGGGGGCATCCTCGACTTGCTTGGGTGCCTCTTGGGCTGTCTTGGATGCAGTGGACGCCCAAAAGGCAAACACGCCAAAAAACATCAGTTTCCCAATCGGAAATCGACGATTTTTGCTCATTGGGCCTCTCGGGGTGCCTCTTGGGGCGTCTTCGGGGCCTTCGGGGGCCTTCTAGGCGTCATGGGAGTCGTCTTGAAGGGCGTCTGCAGCCATCGCTGCGGCCTCCTGGGGCCTCCCTGCAGCCTCTTGGGGCCCTGTTGGCCCGGGGTCGCCGAACCCCCGTAAAAACAAAGGGAAAACAACGCCCAGTCCCCCCATGCCCTATCGAGGTCGCGGTCCCAGGCCCCCGGGCCTGGTGCACGGGAATATATATATATATATATATATATATATATATATATATATATATATATATATATGTGTGTGTGTGCATAACATACATACATACATGCCTGCCTGCCTGCCTGCCTGCATGCATACATTACATTACATTACATTACATTACATTACATTACATTACATTACATTACATTACACTACATTACATTACATTACCTTACATTACATTACATTACAATACAATACATTACAGTACAGTTCAGCACAGTACAGTACAGTGCAGTACATTACATTACATTACATTACACTACATTACATTAAATTACATGACATTTCATTACATTACATTACATTTCATACATACATACATACGTACATACATACATGCGTATACATATGTGTATATATTTCTGTATAAGTATATGTATACATACATATATAGATGTATATATATATTCGTGTAGAAATACAAATACATAAGCATATACACATATACACAACTATATATATACACACGAACAGCTGTATACCGACACATATACGTATACACATACCTATGCATACACATTCATATGCACATAAACAGCTGCTCATACATACACACACATAAACATGCACATCGAGCTGCACATAAACATATACATGTACATAAGCGTATACATGTACACGTACACATACACATACGTGTACGTATACCTATGCATGAACATGTACATGCACATAAACATATACATCTACGTATACATGTACATATATACATACATACATACATTTGCATACATATACATATACATATACATATACGTAGGTCTAGACAGAGACATAGACGTATACCTAAACATATACAATTGCGTATACATATACATTACATACAGATGTGCATATATATATATGTATAACTCTGCATGCACATCTATCTATACATATACATATAAATATACATATATACATACATATACATATACATATATGAGCATACCGATACAAATACATGTACCTATACCTGCACATACACATATACATATACATATTCATATCCATATCCATATCCATATCCACCGTCTGCAGAGGTCTCTGACAATCGATCCTCCAGGCGGTGGTATTTATCAAAGTGAGGGGGCCGAACGGTCATTCAGTCCCTTGGCGCGTGGCTGAAATTCTGCGGTGCGGATTGTTGTCTTGTTGTATGTTGCTTGATGTTTGTTGATTGTTGTTTGTTGTTGTTTATTGTCGTCCCCACCACGACCCGGGCCCGCGACCCACCCGCGACCCGCCCGCGACCCGCCAGCGACCCACCCGCGACCCACCCGCGACCCGCCCGCGACCCACCAGCGACCCACCCACGACCCACCGCGACCCTGCCGCGACCCGGCCGCGACCCGGCCGCGACCCTGCCGCGACCCGGCCGCGACCCGGGCCGCGACTCACACGCGACCCGCCCGCGACCCAACCCGCGACCCAACCCGCGACCCACCCACATTGCTTGAACAAAAAAGTCAGCGCCTGCGGCGGGCTCACTGTCTAGTTTTTAAACTTTACGCGCCTGCGGTGGGCTTCTTCAGAGCCTCGCAGACTGCCGACGTCCCCGCCGCCCTCTCACTCTTATCCGCAACTGCGGGGTGCTACGTAAATCCCCGTCTCGGACCTCAGGACACCTTCCATCCATGGCGAGGAAGAGGTCGCACCTCGCCCAGTCCCGCGTGGCCAGGCCGTTCCAGCTGTCGCCGTTCAGGGCCTGCTGCGCCGCGCGCGACTTGGCCGTGCTCCGGTAGTAAGGCGCGCGGCTGGCGGAGGACGCGTCCTCTCCCACTGGGTAGCGGGGGGGGGGCCTGCT